AGTTCAAGGGACCACGTCCAGAGTTTGCGGTAGTTGAAAGGCGATTGACGTCATAACCTGAGATATCTACGAGGGTCTGGTGATGGTTCAACTTGGTGTTCATGGTAATCTCGACGTACTATGACTGTGGGGGCTCAAGGGATAGATTGACTTGCCGCTAGTGATTGGATTGTCGGAGATTTGATATACATAGAGTGATCAGCTTGAAGAAGAGGAGAATGAGCATCTGCTACGGATAGTACTGGTGGTGATCCTTGGATAGCTGAAACTGTGACTTTTGAGGGTATACAGAGTGTAAGTATTGCATGATCTGTTGTAGCATGTACCACTTGAAGGACTCAGCTACCTACGCTACGGAGTACATCAAGAGGGACATACTTTTGAGACTTCAAATTGGCATCTAATATTTGAGCTCTTTAAAACAGGATATCGAAAGGGCTAACTCGTACTAAAATACATTTCGGTCGTGCCTGTTCTCACCGACTCAGCACGGTAGACCACCTATATTCTACCTGCCTGCCTTCTGTTGGCTGGCCTCTTTTTTATTAGCGCTCGGCCTTCAGCTGTTCATGGCTTGTCTTAGTAGCTTGTCTCAACAACCCCTCCCTCCCTCCCTCCCAACTAAACTGGTCTGAATCTCGACGTCATATGAGCTCTCCTGGCGATCATCTCCAAGCTGTACATAATGTACAGCGCATTATTTATCCACGACGTCAACATTAGCCTGATGATCTAACTTTTAGTTGATTGTCTCCCGCCAAGAAAACCAGGAACTGATTAGTATTCAACCTCTTTCTACTCCGTATTCCATACAAATAAATAACCCCATTTCGACCCCTGCAAAGAGCATCAGAAAAGAAGCTCATAACCCTTGACAGTGATACCCTTCCCCTCCTTGGCTCCTCCCTCCTTCCCTGTCTGCCAAGCTTGGACAGTGAAATCTAATCTCAACTCTCCAATTCAAATCCATATCCATAATCCATATAATCCTACACATCGTCCGTCGCCCCCTTGGACACCAGCTATTACCCAAACTCTTCACATCTCATCACCCAACATGGCTTCACCTACAACAACCGATCTGCCCTCGAGGGCTACTACTGGCTTTAGCACCGTCAGCGAAGATGCCATTCCCGAAGTTGATCCCTCAAGCGTATGTCACCTGAGGTCTCCCTGTACAACATGCGCTACAGAACGAGCGCGCAACTTTGGAAGAGATCTGAGCTGACCTCTTTGTGAATAGACTGCCGGTTTGCTCGCTGAGCGACTCCAGGCATGGAAACATGCCGTTGGCTACATAGAGGATTATATGAAGGCCATGGAGAAGATCCACGGCCACCATGCCAAAGAATATGAGAGGGCGCTCAAGGTGAGCTTAATTCAATCCCAATTCCAACTTACCATCACTTCAGTAGACCTTGGTCACTAACTCGAGGAAAAACAGGCCATCAACAACCCCCTCAAGGAGGGCCACCACTTCGACCAGAGCCTGGGTGGCGTTGCCGGATTCTTCGAGAACATGCGCTCCAACACGCAGTCACTCATCAACACCAACATCGAAACCGAAAAGAGCATCAAGGGCTCTGTCCTCCCCGTCCTCGAACGCTTGCATAAGGAGATCAAGCACAAGGCCAAGGAGCTCGCCCATGGCGCTGAGAAGGGCGCAAAGGAGGTTGACAAGGCTCGCAACACCACACAGAAGCAGATAGAGCTGCTTGGGCAACATGCGGCTTCTTTCGACTCTGCTGGAGGCCATCTCAACAGCCACGACGATCCTTATGTCGTCTATCGCGGTGTCCTGCACCGTCTGAACAATCAGGTCATTGCCGAGAACAACCACCGAAATGACCTGATTGCCGTCCAGAACAACTTCCAGAGCTTCGAGGCCCACATCATTGAGGTTATCCAGCAGGCCATGGAGGCCTTCACACAACTTGCGGGTGGCCAGGCTGACAAGACACGCGCTCTGTATAACGACCAGCTCTCGGTCATCCAACGTGTCACCCCTGACTTTGAGTGGAATGCCTTCAAGGCCCGCAGCGCCGACCGCCTCGTCGACCCCAACGAGCCCGCCCGCTCTGTTGACGCGATCCAGTTCCCCAACATGGATCACGTTGCGACCAAGGCTCTGATCGAGGGTTCCCTGGAGCGCAAGTCGCGCAACAAGCTATCTTGGGGCTACTCGACAGGCTACTACGTGGTCACGCCCTCCAAGTTCCTCCATGAGTTCAAGGACTCGGATAACAACCGCCAGGACCCTAAGCCGGAGCTTTCCATCTACCTCCCCGACGCCGTCATTGGCACTGTCCAAGGCGAGAAGTTCAGCGTCAAGGGCAAGGACAAGTCCAAGACAATGAGCAGCAAGCTCACCGGCTCAACCGAGCTCAACTTCAAGGCGCACACAGCTGCCGATGCTCAGAAATGGTTCCAGGTTCTCGCAGAATGTGGAAAGAGTACAGCTCCTTTGAGCACCGGCTCCAGCCCTGCTGGATCTACGCCCACATCGCCCAACCCTCAGGTCACAGCTGACCCCATTGACGCAAAGGTCCAGTCTCCCGTTACTCCAGTGACTCCTGCTACTGAGCACGGCGCTCAAGAGGCTGGTATTGTCGGCGGCGAGGCTCCTGCTGCCGCTGCTGCACCGGCTCCCGTAGCCGCTCCAGCGGCAGCTGAAAAGAAGGAGACGGCAATTTAGAGAGAGGCCTGAATGAGGCGGACGAAGGGTGACAGACATTGCGTCGGAGGCCCTGCACAATTGATTTTAATGGGCGGAGTTTCTCTATACCCAGTCCTGCATACACAGGCAACAATTGTTTTTTTGGTCTCTTGATTTGACTGTGGTTCAAAGTGAGGCTGGCAGCGGCAAGGACGTTATATCGTTTGGTGGGGATGCCGTTGACGTGGCTTTTGGTGGTTTGCGACGAAGATGGTTGAAAAGAGGAAGTCCAGACTCTCATGGTTTTGATATTTGGAATCTGTCCTTGCTGCCTTGATTATTATCGGTGGCTTGGATTGCGGAAGGAAGACATCAATGCGGATGTGCGTTGTGAGTCGTTATCAAGTTGGCATATGCCTCTATACCTACCTCCTAAGCCTGTATTCGAATCACATTATACAGTTTCATTTCTACACTTTGTCTTTACAGGAATCAATGTGATAATCATAATCTACCCAAGGTACCGTCCCTTAGGGCATAAAGACGTGGTCAGCTGTGTTTCCCATTCCTCATCAACTGAACGGTATTCTGCTGCGCTCATATGTGTCAATGGGATTGAAAAGACTATCTTTGACTGTGATGCCGTGATTCAGATGCGGCACATATCACCGTACATTACCAATCACAAGGCACGGCTTGTGTATATGCCATCTCGTAGAAGCCCAGCTGAACGGGTATGCATGTTCCTCTGTGCGAGTGTAAGTATGGCTGACAAAGTGTATTCTTGGCAGTATCGTCACAGAACGTGAAGATGTCTATGCATTATCGTGGAGATGCGAACCAGTGGCTGTGAGAAACTACGTGACGACGCCAAGGTAGAACAAGTGCAACTGATGCGAGGATGTACGGTATGTACTAATATAAGAGACCGATCGATGACAGAAATGAGGCGAACAATGCACAACATCATATGTACACACACACACACACACACACACACACACACAGAGAGAGAGAGAGAGAGAGAGAGAGAGAGAGAGAGACCTTCCGCTGGGTATGTTACACCTTTCATGTCTTGGTTGCCAATCGTTTCGGCTATCCGAGGCTGGGTATAAAGCCATTTGGTTGGTTGTACAGACTAAGCAGGGCGAGTTCTGGAAGCCACGCGCTTGGATGCCTCGAAGCTCCGAGACGAAGATGAAGAAGAAGAAGAAGGGTGGGCAGCCGAGGCGATCGATCTGATGCAGGGATTGGAGCTATAGCTATGAGGCTCAGGGAAGTGGATATAACACGCAGTTTGATGACTAGGTAGTACGTACTTGTATATGAGTTGTCATTCAAGGGCATGGGTCCTGTAAGCATTGGATATTACAAGATATGCATGACTTATCTATTTTTTTTTTAATTTTTTTTTAACAGTTGAGTCATCAAGAAGTTGATAGTCCATCACAACTGTATGTGTGTGTGTGTGTGTTGTGTTGGGTGTGTAGGCGGGCGGAATAACACAGATGAATGAGGCTGAAGGACGAACTATCTGCCTAATTCCTCACACCCTCCTCTAACTTTCCCCCTCCCTCTCCTGCTCTCTCGTCGGACAAATCCAAGGACGCAGTCGTTTCAGAACAAGTGTAGCACAAGCGTCAAGTACATTCATTCATTCATTATCTCCTGGTCTCGTCATCCAAATGCAAAGACCGTCCATTATGAGCTTACCTACCTTAGTAGCTATACAAGGCACAGTTGAAAAAGGACTTGCACAAGTCCGCCCTGCTTTATACACCAACAGGAATTGCGAGTTCAACCGCTTTCACATCACTTTTATTCATCACCAAGTGTCTGCCTCGCGCGGACGCCTTGAACGCCTCTCAATTGTGCGGGCTCTGACAGACTCGCTGTGAAAAGAGTACTGCAACACAAGTACCGAATCAGGCTCTGACAAGCAACTAAAAAAGATGATAGAAGACCTGTAGATTGGCTTGGCCCCCCCCTATTCAATGGCCTTTCTTGTCCTCCTCCATTAGTTTCCTTTCCATTGCGTCTCCATATCCTGGGAAGGTTATACAGAACTTCCCGTCACCCTCAGCTTCAACCATCTCCAGAACCTCTAACCTACAGCAGCATCACAAAGACCCAATTTACTTACCAATAAGTGAAGACTCGTGTGCCACTGATTTGTATACCTCGATGCTCGTCAACCCTGTTCCTGCTGCCAAAGCCTTCATTGTCCCGGGCTAGGAGCAAGAGACATCGGACACAAACTACACTTGGCAGTCCAAAGGCCAGACTCGCCACTTCAACCAACACTCATCAGCAAAGCATCACAACAATCCAATTCGCAGCCAAAATGATGGCCAAGCCGTGGAACGAATACCAAGGGACTATCACCAAGCTGTACATCAAGGAGGGTAGAACACTCAAGGATGTCCGCGACATTATGAAGTTGGAGTACAACTTTGACGCTTCGTGAGTTTACTCCCTCTTTCCCCTGAGGCACAGCTCGTACTGGTCTTGAACATACGAATCGCTGTAAGATCTTGACTGTCTTGCTGACTGCCGTCACAGAATCCGCTCATATCGACAGCATTTTGATATCTGGGGAGTAGGCAAGTATACTTGCAAGAAACGAGAAGAGCGCCGTCGCCGATCCGTAAACAAGGGTCTGTCTCTCTCCCCATCACAGTCCCTTGCAGACGTCATCATAAAACAGGAAGATGCAAGCTCGCCGGCTTCCTCGTCAGGCTCCAGCTCTGTAAGCCGACGCTCATCAGAGCAGAAACCTCTGCCTGTGCTGAAGCAGCCCATCCTCTACCCAAGCTTTTTCCAGGACCAGATGCGGTCTCAAGACGATGCGCAGGCAAAGATTGATGCTCCCCGAGCACCGCTATGGGAGGGCCTGGATATAGACTCGCTTCGCGGTTCCCAGACCGCTCAAGCCATGTTGCCATCGTACGTATATCCCTCTGCCTAGTGCCCTGAACCAAATCACTAACGTGGCGTGTGCAGAATCATGCCAATCCAGTCTTATAATGAGGCTTCGAGCTGGCCAGTGCCCCGAGGCTCGTCATCGTATCTCAACAGTCCTCCCCAGTCCTTCGACCGACCACACTTTGAGAGTATGGTCCCGCGGTATGTACCTGACCAGCCGCTGTACCCTCGTGACGCTGGACTCCGGTCGGGCTTGCGAGCTCCAGACCTGTCTGTGGGCAGACCAAACCCAGGGGATCTACTTCACCACATGGTTGGCTATCACGGCGTAGCACAGGGGTAGAACATGTGTACATGACAGACACTAAGGACGAATTCGACTAACACGATCTTTCTGGGGACGGGACACGTTCAAGGATAGAGGGGAACATCGTTGGGTCACACTCCTTTCAGCAACGTTGGTTCAGCAGCTGGGACAAACAGGTCATCTTGAAGTGTCTCATATTAAATATATACGTTATCCTATCATGGATATTATTCTAGCTAGTTTCCACTTACTGGTTTTCTCAATTGGTTTCATTGATTTCATTCTTACTTCGTGATAAGGCGTGAAGGTATCAAGCTGGCCTCTATCCTTGGGATAGGGTACGAGACAAGGCATGCTACAGCTTGTCGCTTGACAAGTTGGTCATCCAAGGTGCGGCGTGGCAACTTGCCACACCATCTACCATAGCACTCTTTGAAAATGTTTTTCACTGTTAGCCTTGGAAGTCATGTTAGCGACTTGTCCAACAATACGTTGATAAACATCGAAAGAGGAATGCAATACGAAATTCAGGGTAAGGTGCCTTGTCACAGGCGTTATCGTCAAAGCAATATGGCTACGTTGACCGTCGTGATATTGTAACATCATTGAAGAGCGACTGAGGAAACAGAAGACTAGAGAAAACTAACCTGATGCTGTAGTCAAGCCCACAGTGGAGTAAGTGAGAAAGGTCGAGTATGCTTTCGAAATGTCAGTCGCTATCGCTGAAAAGACTGCATTGACGTGTCGTGAAGCATCTCGATCAGGGGATAAATGAATTGTCGTCGTAGCGTGAGCTCGGACATATGCTTGTCGTTTTCATTTTGAATCATCATAGAGATGATGTGAAATGCGAATGCAGGGGCCAGTCGGCTACTCACGTCTTGATTATCTGAGAATTGGTTAGCACAAGTCGCCTAGTGCTTGCGAGCAAATTTGCAAAAGAATCGCGCGTCAGGAAATGCATGAATGGTAAAGTAAGATTGTGTCTGCATCGAAAACTCGTATAAGACTCGTCATCTAAAGGGTTCATCAGGAAGCGAGGATGCTGCTGAAATGTGTGAAAGTTTACTTACAGTTAGAGAAGACCAGAGAAACCCGAATGTTAAGATTGAATGGCAAGGTACTAGCACTTAAGGTAGGTTAGCCTCAATGGCCCGTAAACATCCAGCAAGTGAAGGTAGATGGTGACGAGTCAGTGGGCGAGGTTTTCTAGGCCTGCCGCAAAGTGGCTTTTCTTGCTCATGTGGTATGATTCGGAGCCCAGTGCCGCTTCATCATGAAAGGTCGGGTGCGGGTCGAGATGAGATATCGCATACCTTGCTAGTCAAGTCTTTTTTCAGGTCAGCGCAAGCTATTACATGCATGACAACAAGTGTGCAGGAGAAGTCTCAATCAGAAATAGCCATTTTATATCGTCAAAGAAGAACTCAGCCGGTAATTTCCAGCGTATATTGTAAAAGAAATGATCATCACAAGAGATGGTGTTGGATGCGACGGGAGACGCTGTAGATGAACGTACCATTTCAGCCCATATCGGACGTAGAGGAAAGCTTGAGCATTCTCGCAATGATCCACCGCTTGGTGATGAAAGAGCTATTCAAAGGTCAGCGCGTGTTCAGAACTTGCAAAGTGCGAAAGCGAAAGCGAGATTGAAGTCTTTTCAGACTGACGTGTAAAAAAAAGAGGTTTCATTCCATTTAGGTCAAAGACTCTAGTTTGCGGTGTAAGGTGTCATCACGAAGAAAGAAGTAGCCGCGCAAGATATTGCGCCATCGAGAACATACCTCAGCTTGAATGATTGTTTGTTTTTGTGTTGTTGAGAAAAACTGAAGAAGCTTGGAGGAGCGAAAGTTTTTGTAGAGGAAAAGCTCGGACGAAAGTTGCAATGTGGGGAGCACGGGCCCTTATTCTTCCGCCGCCGCATCTCCCTAAGGTAAGGTAGGTAGCAAAGCAGAAGTACAATGTTCGGCGACGAACGTCAATTAAGAAACGGTCCACATCAAGAAAACTCAGTGAAATATGGATCTTTTCAACTAGATTTAAGATTGCAGCTCTCAAGCTATAAGAACTTTTGTGGAGTAACAACAATTGTGCTTTGAAATCTAGGGAGGCTGGTGAACCAATTGAGGACCGACCCTGATCCTCGATTTCCATCACGTGACATCGCGTTCATGCTCACGCGCCTTTTGCGAAGTTGAGTCTGTGACGCTATTACTTCCTTCATACCGCCCGTAGACACAATATATCGACCTTTTATCGTATAGAAAGATGCCTGAGATCGCAGAAGGTCCGTTTGAGATTTGAGTTCCGAGATGAAGATCCCAATGCTGAGCCTGAAACAGTTGCCCGTATCGTCCATTTCCTACGCCTTCATGTAGTAGGGAAACGCATCGTATCCGCTTCTGCAATAGATGACAAGAATGTGTTTGGCAAAGTTGGTACAAGTGGTGAGGAAGTAGAAACTGCTTTGAAGGGGAAGAAGGTTAGGAATTGCCTCCTACTACTCGCGCTCATCTTGCTCAACGTTATAGATTGTCTCTGCAGGAAGTCAGGGGAAATACTTCTGGTGAGCCAACTTACAGTGTTATTCCAGGACCAACCCAATTTACCAACAATAGGATAACCCTCGACAAACCTCCGCATCTAGTAATGCATTTTGGAATGACAGGTAACCAAGCCTCGCAAGAAACGAAAATAACGAAAGAATACTAAATCAGGGGGACAGGTTGGATGCACATCAAGGATGAACAGACAGCATATACCAACTACTATAAGAAGATGAAGGAGGGTGAGCCTGATCAATGGCCGCCCAAGTTCTGGAAGTTCCAGTTCAAGACCGAGGGTTCAGAAGTAGCCTTCACGGACGCGCGTAGGTTTGGTCGGGTGCGACTTGTCGACTGTCCCGGGGACCAGATAAGGAAGCATTCGCCTCTGGTAGAGAACGGACCGGATCCAGTTGTCGACCTTGATCGTTTCACCGAGGATTACTTGCGTTCCAAGATGCGAGCCCGCCATGTCCCTATCAAGGCCCTCTTGCTAGACCAAGCGATGATCAGCGGAATTGGCAATTGGGTGGCCGACGAAACACTGTACCAAGCTAAGCTTCACCCTGAGCAATATTGTGATAATTTCAACGATGCTCAAATCGCCACCCTCTATGAAATGATCCGCTATGTGTGTCAAACAGCCGTCGATAAACTGGGAGACTCAGACGAATTCCCCGAACACTGGCTCTTCAACTATAGATGGGGCAAGGGCGCAAAGGGTGCAGCGACCAAGCTACCAAATGGCGAAAAGCTGGCTTTCATTACAGTTGGCGGGCGGACAAGTTGTTACGCGCCCGGTGTACAGAAGAAGACAGGAAATACAGCTCCCGGCATCAAAGAGGAGCCTCTCGAAGAAAAGGCCGAAATTAAACCTCCCAAGAAGTCAAGGAAGAAGTCACCAGAGGCAGCCGAAGAAAACGTCCAGCCTCCAAAGAAGAAGCGCACAAAGGCTACCAAGAAGGAGACGAATGAAGACGCTGTAAAGACAGAAGATGCTGCCGAGGAAACCCTGCCAAATCTCGGACGAAGAAGATCCACCCGCCTAAGGAAGTAGATGCCTAGCCTTAGCTTTAAGAATGCAAAGGATGAGTAGCTAAATGGTCGAGCTGGTCTGCCCTGGTTTTGTGTAGGAGTTTGGGTCATTCAAAACATTGTGTTCTTGTAGTGCGTACCTTGGTTGCTGCCCGCCATGGGTTGTCTGCTCCATGAGAAAAATTGTATCCAGTCCAGGACCAATTCCAAAACATTATAAGAGCGCGGAGTTCTTAGGTTTCTGTTTGCGTTGGTTTCTCCTTTCTCACACTTGGTTAGTTGTGTACCTAACTTGAGATAACTACCTTAGGTATCATTTCATTCCAAGTAAATGCCCATCGCAAGTTCAATCGCGTTAAGTTTCATCGCGCTTATTTTCACACCACATTAAGTCTTACAAAGATGTGGCCTGGCGCAGGGTAGATATAGGAGAGTCGACCGAGCCACCCAAACTATAAGGAGCATGAGATTCCATTAACACGAACTGGAACTGCATAAACTAATGACAAAACTCAGATATAATCTGGACCTGAAGCTGCCACAAATTACCTAGTAGTCAACAACGCCAGCTTACAAGCCAGGAACAAGCATGGGTGAGAGGAGGGATATCTTTTTCGTTGTCTTTTCAACCGCCACTTTTCGGGACGCCATGAAACCCAGTCTATGCCAAAATACCCCCTAGGAATCCAGAAACAGATGCAAGAATACAGGAACCAACTGAAGGTGGTATCGTCAACCATCAACCGCCCTGTGGATATGTGTGAACATGAATCAAGTAGAGAACAACCAGCAACTCGCCCGCCACATTCCCAACAAATTCTCCTAATAACCATTTCCTATGATAATGCCGGTTTAGTTGCCATTGGACTCAGCGCCATTGGCCTCGAGCTTTCCCTCAGTCTTCTCGATGTAGGCGACCAAATCAGCAATGGTGCAGACCTTCAAACCCCACTTTCGGGCGAAAGTGATACAATCCTCGCCTCTCAACATGCCGTGGTTATGACGAAGGGCCTGGCCAGGGGTTTCCTCGCCGACGTCAACGATTTCGCAAATAACCGCGGCATGGGCCTTGCCAGCTAGTCGGCAGAAGTCAACAGCAGCCTCGGTATGACCCGGTCGCTGTCTGACACCACCAGGGCGGGATCGCAGAGGAAGGACATGGCCTGGACGGCGGAAGCTATCAGGGCGTGCGCTGGGGTCGGCGAGTGTGCGGCAGGCTAGAGCGCGGTCGCGAGCACTGATTCCGGTTGAGACGGAGGGGTCGGCTGAGTCAACTGAGATGGTGTAGGCGGTGCCTCGAAGGTCCTGGTTGTTGGGGACCATCTGAGGGAGGTCGAGAGAGGTAGTGATAGCGGGGGAGAGAGGAGCGCAGACGTAGCCGGAGGAGTGGTGGATGAGGAAACCCATCTTCTCGGTTGTAACATCTTCAGCAGCAATGATCAAGTCGGCTTCGTTTTCTCGTGAAGGGTCATCGAGCACGACGAGGAATTCTCCATTTCCTGCCACAATCAATGTTAGCGTAGTGACACATGAGGCAGGGACAGAAACCACGTACGGAAAGCCTCGATCGACTCGGGGATTGAGTCAAACTTGTTCTGGGGAATTGTTGCGGGCATCTTGGAGGTGTGATAGGGAATAATGGTAGAGGAATGGACAGTGCAAGGTATTGAGTGTTGAGCAACAATTGGATTTCCAAAGAGGATGCTTGGCTTCTCGACCTCGGCTTGTGACTGTGAATGCGACGGTTGCGACGGGACGCACGAGGAGAGCGGGTTCGGAGGCGGAGACGGAAGCGGGCAGCGGCACGCGGGGGTTGATGAAGGGTCAAGGAGGGGAACGGGAACTGCTTTTTTTTACTGGGGACGTTGATATGGAAGCCGATTAGGTGATTGTTAAGCACCAAGTAGAGATTGAGTAAGCAAATAATTGATTGATTGAGTGAGTGAGTGAGTGAGTAATGATTCAGGCGATGGAGAGCGAACTGCAACTATCAAATATGCTCGGATACGGCATTTGATTCTCGCATCGCATGATTCAGACAGAACCTTTTTTCTCCAAAGCAAGCCAAGCCCCGCTCCGCAGTCCGGTCTTAATCACAGCCGCGCGGTGAATTTCCCGCTCGCCTCCTTACGATCGAGCCCGGCTTATCCGGTCTAAGTAAGCCCAAATCCCATGAGGACCTACTCGAATACCGAGTTACTTTACCCTCGGAGCCATTGGTTGCGAACCCGCGGTGCATCGTCGACACTGATGAGCTCACATGTCAATGCATTGGTGATTTGAAAGGGGTCTTTACTTGATCGGGCAGTTCGGGTCGTGTTCTTCTGATTGTGATTGGTCAGTTCTGGCTCCCTCATTATGTCAGCTTTGCTAAAGACGTTGTTGGACTAAGGAATTGCGAAGCATCAGTCAGCGAAAGACGACAGAAATTCTTGGACTTTGACACTGCAGTAGTGGAACCGATGGCGGAACCGTCCGAGTGCACCCTGCAATCGAATTGAATCTTGTCATCGTTGACTTTTTTTCAAGGGTCCATCGAGACTATCTTATCTTGCTTGGCTTGCAGCTTTGTCATCCGCTCTTCGATCCTCGCATCATCCACACCTTACCTATTCCATTACCACCTACCAACCAAACCGTTACCACTCTCACTTCACCTCCGAGCCTCCAAATATGCCGGCTCCGTCCCGGCCGGCGGGTGCCCTCTTCCGCAACCTCGCCCGATCAGGTCGGCGGCCTTTCGCCCTCCCATTGCCGGCGAGCCATACCATCGCAGCCTCTATTACGACATTACCAACACCTCGATGGCACTCCACGTCCTCGTCCAACTCGTCGCAGAATTTCTCATCTGTCAACCCCGATGAAGTCTCACACTTCAATGCGCTCGCCGCCGACTGGTGGGATCCTCATGGCTCCTCCCGGCTACTTCATCTCATGAATCCTTTACGTCATGACTTCATCCGCACTTGTCACCGCACCGACCCCGATTCTCCCACTCGAGACCTGACATTCCTTGATATTGGCTGCGGCGGTGGTATCTTTGCCGAAAGTGCAGCTCGTTTACCGACTACCAGGCATGTCACTGCTATCGATCCCACCCCTGAAGTACTCGCTGTAGCACGTTCACACGCTCGCAAAGATCCTGGTCTTCGCTTCAAGCTCGAATATCGGCAAACGTCAATAGAAAATCTTCCTATTCCTGCGACACCACAAGAGGCCTACGATGTGGTCTCGTTGTTCGAGGTTATCGAGCATATCGATGCTCCAGGCGCATTCCTGGAAAAGGTGCGCCCCTTTGTCAAACCTGGGGGGTGGCTTGTTATGAGCACCATTGCGCGAACATGGATGAGTTGGTTTACCACCAACTTCATGGCCGAGGACGTTCTAGGTATTGTTCCCAAGGGGACACACGACTGGAACAAGTATCTCAACGAAGAGGAGTTGCGAACTTTCCTCGCCGGTCGAGGCTGGAGTCACCCAATGGTGCAGGGTGTAATATATGTCCCTGGGCTCGGCTGGAAGCAGGTCAACGGCAGTGAAAAGGTAGGCAACTACTTCTTTGCTGTGCGTAAATCTGAAGCCTGATAGGTAGGCTTGGTTCAGATGTGTATGATTCATGTTGCTATACGGTTACACAAAAGTTGAGAGGTCGCAAATGATCAAATGACAGTCAATTGTAATATAGTGTGGGATGATTAGGTAGTTCGCCAGCTGAAAGGCTCTTACTATGTAAAGTATAATCCGATCGGGGATTTGTTAACTATCGAATTGGCATGATTCTAAGGAGGATCCGTAAAGCTCCTGTAACAGAGCATGCGTTATGGGAGGAATAAACTTGGTCCTACTAGAGTCTACCACTGGATATTTTGGTTGGCGAGACTATTCTCTTCGCTCAGCTTACCTATTGTAGAAAAGAGCGTGCTTGCTGTAAGGCTGGGGAGTTGTTGTCGATTGCATACCTAGGTAGGTACTCCGTAGTCAGTCAGAACTAGCAGTTTCTAATGTCGGAATGTGCACCACCGAACCAGTAACATCTCAAGGCATGTTGCGGCTGTGCGAGCTGATACAGCTCCATGCTCCTGGATCACCCTACCACTAACAAGGATTTACAGCTTACTGGGTAGTTAACAGGTTTTCGCGTTGCACATCAACTCGTACAGAACAAACAGTACCTCTCGTTGAACATCGGGTATCTATTTGTTGATTTTGTTCCGAGCAACAGCGAATCGAATCTAAGAGACATCCATCATCAGAAGGTCTTCACATGTTTTGATATTCTTGACCGGACAATTACGAGGTACGGTACTGTACGTACACACAGCCACCCGAGACAACCCCGCCCACTAAAATCCAATGCCTTAGCCGAGAGCGCCAGGGCAGACTCCGCTAATTAAGAGGGCTGACAGAGTCCAAAACGCCCTATGATCAACCTCCAATACAGTGCAAGGCCTGGTTCATGGCAGTACCTTAGGTAGGTAGGTAGCTAGGGCAGAAACGAGGAGTCAGTGGCTGCCCCGTAACTGCAGCTGCAACGGTTCCTCCACTCCCGTCAGAATGGAACCCACTTGACCTGGGCTCCTCCTGGATTGATCGGCCTTTTGCTCTTTCTCCTAGCTACCTACATCAAATTCAAGGTACCATTTCTAACGATGACTGTCGTTCTTTGACAACTATTCCAGTGTTTCTATTTCATTGTCTATCAGTCGTTTATTTCCAAATCAGCCCGTCTTTTTGTTTTGTTTTGTTTTTGTCTCGGCATCTCTTGTCTCAATCAATCGCTCGTTGGTGTCTTGCTTGACTTGACTTGTCTCACCCTTTAGTTATTGTCTTGCTATGGGTTTGATTATTTGTTGGATGACGACGACTCCTACCGTACCCTCTCACCACTCTTGAAATACCTGGTCGTTGCATTGCTACGAAACCTCACCTCTTCCTCCGCCGCTATGGCGGTTCATCGCCTCATTTATTCGCCTCTTTATATACGGTTTTTTGTTGTTTCTACCTTGATCTCTCTGTCCTTCGCACAATTCATCCCTAGCTCTGATGCTAAGGCGCGTAATCTCACAGTCGTTCGTTCACCAGCAAATCGGGATGTGACTGTCTCTTATAAAACTCCCGAAGGCGTCTGTTCTACAGCATTCGACTCTCAAAAGCAGTACACAGGTTGGGTGTCGGTCCCCGGGGATTATCCAACCAATCTGTTCTTTTGGTTTGTTGAGGCTCGTGAGCGGACTGACAGTCTCACTATCTGGCTCAATGGAGGACCAGGATCCAGTTCACTCTATGGTTTCTTCACCGGCAACGGGCCTTGTGAAGTTGTCGAAAAGGGTTTAAATGAATACGAGACGCTTGTGCGAGAATGGGGCTGGGATCGAGCCTCTAACATGCTCTTTATCGATCAGGTAGGTAAACCTCGAGTATCCTCGCCAACTCACAAGAGCTCATGTGCACTTTTCTAGCCCAACCAAGTCGGCTTTTCGTACGATACGCCTACCAACGGCACAATAAACTTTCTCAGTCAAAATGTTACTGAGCCTCCAGGGTCCTATCCGGAGCTTCCAGAATGGCTCGTTCGCAATGGCACTTTCAGTTCCAACAATGGAAATTTTACTGCCAATACTACTGAGACCGCTGCCATGGCCGTTTGGCATATGGTCCAGGGCTTCTTGACCACGTTCCCACAATACCAGCCTGCCTCGCGTTCTCGCAACAGCTCACTTGGCATTAACCTCTTTGCCGAAAGTTATGGTGGTCGCTACGGCCCTATCTTCGCGGAAACTTTTGTACAGCAAAACGCTCGCCGAGAGAGTGGGGAGTTACCACGCAATTCAACCATTGACGTCCATCTCAGTTCTCTCGGCATCGTCAATGGTTGCGTTGATATGGAGATTCAAGTACCTTACTATCCAACATTTGCCAGTGACAATACATATGGCTATAAAGCTTTATCTGATAGCGACGCCAAGTTCAATCTCGACAAGTTCTCTGCTGAAGGCGGCTGTCGCGATCTTCTTCAGAAATGCGCCACCGATGCATCAGTCAGCGATCCCGAGGGCGAGGGGAACGAGGAATCTATCAATCAGATCTGCTTTGAGGCTCAAAGTAGCTGCAATGACATTCAAAACGCCTACTCTAGTTCAGGTCGTGGCTGGTACGATCTTGCTGCGCCCCTTGCCGACCCTTTCCCACCTATGACATTCTTGGAATACCTCAATCAAGACACTGTGCGACAAGCTATCGGTTCTCCTATCAACTTTACAATGACCAACATAAACGTCAATCTCGAGTTCCAATCCACGGGCGATCAGGCGCGTGGCGGCAATATCGCCCGTCTAGCTTCTCTCCTCAATTCAGGAGTACGGATTGCCCTGATATACGGAGATCGTGACTATATATGCAATTGGCTTGGTGGAGAAGCTGTTTCGCGAAGCCTGGCCAGCGAAGCAGGCGGTGAATACAGCATTCGGTATCCTGAGGCTGGATACGCACCCATCATTGTCAATGATTCGTACATTGGTGGTGTTGTTCGTCAGTTCGGCAACCTATCCTTCAGTCGTGTTTACCAAGCAGGCCACGCCGTGCCTGCTTATCAGCCTGAGACTGCCTTCCAGATTTTTGCTCGTATCATCCTGGGCACTTCGATTTCTACTGGCAAGGACGTTGATGCCGCCACGTATAATACCACAGGCGATGCCAATGCGACGCATACTGAAGATCTTCCTAAGCAACTGAATCCTACGTGCTACGTTCGGAACTTCCAAGGCAGTTGCGATGAGGGTGCCCAGGAACTAGTCAAGGATGACAAAGGGATTGTGGTCAATGGCATACTGTATACCTCGAAGGAAGATTGGCCGCTGCAAGCAGAGACGACGGAGACACCAACAACATCAACTTCAGATCCCAGCTCAACATCAGATATGACCGGTGTATATACAGCAACTGAAACACCTGATGCTGCAGCATGGAACCCGCCCAATTCAGGGCTAGTGGTTGCCATTGCTGGCATATTGGTATTGCAGGCTGTTGCATGAGCTCCCCAAGTATGAGGGAACACTGTATTGTTTGTTGCACCTGCGCAGCACGAGCAGAGAACATTGTAATAGAAAAATCATGACGTTACCCCCCAAGGTTTTGTGGGTAATGGTAATTAGCACTGGTTGGAAAAGCATTGCATTGGATGCTTCTTATTCGGATAAGGCGCGTTGAGCCAAATAGCATAAGGGGGTACTGAAAGACTCGAGATACCCTACATTGTCGTATATATAATATCTATAGAGTAAAATATAGCACATCCTGGAATGCGCTCTTGATTTCTTCGAGTCCTATGATTCTCTTGGGCTGTTCTGTTCTTCAATTTTCATTCGATTACATACCTATGTGTAGCATCTGAAGACTGCTCTCAATTGCTCGATTGGTTTCTATCAGGTCTAACACTGGTGGGGTATCATTTTATCGTGTCTTCGTAGTGAACAAAATCGCAAATTTGACCTAAACCCGCGGTCATTCTCTTCTCTTCTCCCTCTTGAGCGGCCTTCCGGGGACAGCCTGTGAGCCTCTAACTCGAAGTTCGTCGTCGCCGTCGCCTTCGTCTTCTTCATCCATCATTTCCTGCTGCTGCTGTGCCAGACGAACACGCTTGATACGGCGCGCCATGGCTTGGTCCTGGAAGAACTCGTGGTCGAATCGCGCACGCGTGAATTTCTGTACACCAAGTAAGTCAATAGCACTTGGATGATGGAGAGTGAGCGGACCTGTGAGCATCCTGCTTGTGGACATTGAGACTCTCCTCGCATGGGTAGATACTCGAGCAGAGCGGCCTTCTCGAATGTATGTTTGCAGTTCCGGTTGGTGTAAGGATCCTTCATGGGTTGTAATGTCAAAGGGCAGTTAATGCTCTTGACCTCGCGCTCAACGGCAATATCGTCATCGTCGTCTCCTACCCCGGCACCTGCTCCCTTGACGTCACTGGTCATGATAGGCTCGCCATCGGCAGTGAACCAGCGTGAGGCATCGGGCAGTGGAGGCCCCTCATCGCCAGCCATAGCATCGTGCCACAGCTTTTTGAAGCCAGCGTAGTCGTTATTGAGAGCATAACGCTGGTGGGCGGACATTTTAGTATATTCAGTGTCTTTCTTCTGGCGCAGTTCTTTGTAGAGTTCGAGTAGGCTTGTTGCACCCAGGGGCTCCTGCTCGTCGTCCTGCTCGCCTCGTTGGGCGTCCACTTGTCTTTGTTGGGCAGCTTCAGCACTGGCCGTGTCATGCAACTCGCTGAACATGGCATCTTCGTCTTCCAATTCTGCTCTGCGATCGATCATATCACGAATTGCCTGTTCCGATGCCGCTGTCAGTGTGTTAATGCGCTCCTCCAATTCAGGGAGATGAGCTTCGAGGCGTAGCTCGTCCTCAGATTTCTCTGTCCCCTTCTCCTCTCTCCGAAGTTTTAGACGGGACAACTCTTCGCGCTGCATGCGCAATCGCTCGTGTATATCGCTGACGCTGAAGCCAAGTAATCGGACAGATTCGTTGATCTGCTGTTGATATGCGGCTGTTGAGCGGCTGTTTGACAAGTCGTGCAGCTTGCGGCG